ATCGGCTAAAATATACTACTGACGAGGAGATATAAAATGTGGCTGTTGTCGTTGGAACGGGTATCGCGTTCCTTCGATCAGCTGTGTTGCCCGCTTATCGGTGTTTATTTGCGTACAGAATGTAGGTCAGTGGGTTGTTATTGTTATTGTTGCGCTTGCCGGGCGATCACAGTAACCGGTCTTCGCAGAGTGTTTTCGTGGATGCGCGTGTGTGCGTTATCCGGTGCACTACTGCGATTAGGGAAGGCGGCGGCTGTCGCTTTAAGCGGCGGCGGCGGCAGTCCGATTACGTGGTATTTTTGTCCCGGGTCATCGCGTGTTGACGTAGGCGAGTGGCGGTGCTGGGCGGTGGTGGTTAGACCCTCTCGCGCTCTTGCGTTCCTGCCTAATGCCTACCTACGTCGTGTGTGTTTGGAGCGTCGCGTGCGGTGCGGTCGGTGCGTCCGTAAAGTCAGGCGGCGCGGCCGGTCGTTACGTCCTTTATGGTTATGTAATATATTACGTAACGCCGGTTTTTCCGTTAACGCCTGAAAACCACGTTTTTGTCGGATCGCGTCCAGGACTTTTTCCAATCGCGCAACGGGGGGTATATGTGGGTGGTAGTGAGTGGTAAGATAGTTTTCACTTACCGGTGATTCCTGTTCGGGGAGCCAGTTGACGCGGACTTGTATTGAGCCGCGTGGATGGTGATGTGCTGGTGGTGATCGACGGTGAGTCGGTCGGTGTAAACCGGTAATAACGGTAAAACAAAAAAATAACAACGAAACGGCGCACAGGTGTGAGTAACTTTTATTGTTCAAGTCAAAAAGAAGACACAAAGAACATTCAATACCAGATTAAGTATAGGTATCGACCGCGACAGAGAAAACAGAAATTGTTCTTAACTCGCGGGGACGTGTGTAGGTCTATCCGTGTCGGAGTCGTGAGGACGAGAGAGCGCGCCTTGGCAATCCGGTTCGCTGGACGGCCGGCCGACGGTTCCAGGCGCGCGTGTCGCGCGCCGGCGCCGTCCGTCGTCGGTTGGCGGTTTGATTGAGAAGCCGCGGCGCGGCTTCCGCGCAAAGGCTGTTTGAATTCAAACAGATTTTGCGCGGGACCGCGTCAACTGTACACAATCTATATTTCTTAATAGGCTCATTAGGATCACCGCGCCATAATATGCGCTGATAATCTCTATCTGCAGTATCAACCCATACCTGCCTATACATTTTTTTAATATCAGCTGAAAATGCATATTTATGTGTACGAAATCTCGTAACAATTAATGTGAGGTCATCTTGTAATATAGGACCTTTTAACAATACATCGTTTATCGATAATCCAGATTCTGATTTGCATGAGCCGTCAAATACCACTCGTAATTTAGTTGATCGGCTACTATCATTAAGAACGTAAGAGTGTGGCATGTAATACGTTTTCACTGATAGGTCATTGTCCTCATTAACTTTCTCCATATGTCCCAAATGCTCATATTCTTCCATGAACCCTTTATATTGACTATATCGCTCGGGATTTTTCCCGAGACGACGCTCTAACGATAAAAACCTTTTTAACGCTATGTTATATGACTCGCCTAACATGTCTACGTTATCTGGAAACGGCAATTTTACTACAAATTTTCCCGTGGAATCTACTGATACGTGATCTTCAAAATGTTTTCTACAAATACTATCTTCCGACGTTTCGTCCATATTTGCATTGGAAAATTCTTCGATTTTCCAAAATTCTTCAATATCCTTTTCCAAATTTGAATAATTATCTTCACTTATTACAAAGCAAGCCATTGAATTATTTTTTGATGAAATTTCATTCACTGGTCCTACAATAATCCAGCCGAACATTGTTTGCTGCAAGTACGGACCCATTGTGTGCAGTTTGAAATTTCCCGAGCACATTATTTCCCAATAGGTGTCGGCACCAATCAATAAATCAATTTTTTCCGGCTTAAAACACCTAGAATCTGCCAAAATAATATCCGTGGGTATAGACCATTTGTTAGTATCGATATTGTTGGTCGGCAGTTTTCCGGTAATTTTTGGCAATACCAGCATGTCTAAGGTGGCAGAATAATTATTTATACGTGACTTAATAGACGCGGTTACCTGATACGTGGCACGACTCACTACCTCATTTATACCTGTTATTGATTTATTTATTTTTGTTCTCGCAAGCCCTAATCTCTGTGCCATTGCTTCGGTCAAAATATTTATCTGTGAGCCGTTATCTAGTAATGCCCTGCATACAACTAGTTCGCCGCATGCATTTAATATATGTACCTCTGCAGTCGCTAATAGTACTTGTGCGCGCGTTTGACCACGGGCGGCGTGAATCACCACCACTTCCGGATTAGACACATTTGACGTAGACGGATTTTGTACAACTTGTGGTACATTACCATGCAGCAACGCTTTATCACATTTGGAGCATACCCTTTTCGACCTACACACCTGTACATCCGTGTGTCCCGTACCCAGGCAATTGCGACATAGGTTTAGTTCATCAACCTTTAGTGCTCTTTCATTCGCATTGAGTGCGATAAATTTTTGACACTTGTAAATAGGATGTGACTGTTTACATAAATAACATGCTAAACGATTGGTAGCAACAAATGCATTTACTTTTTTATTATTTTTAAATTGGACGTTTTTATCATTTGGATTGCGATAATTTTGCTTAGACTGCGTATAATGCGACGTATTTGATTTATTCGATAAATTTTTTGAGGTATCAATCGCCTCTAATATTTTACACCGTTCATTTAAAAATGTTGTCAACTCCGATATAGAGGGTAATATATCTTTGGTCGCCACAGATTCCCAATTTCGTATTGTATTATAATCTAGTTTGACTAGAATCACATGCAATAATAGCGCACCACAGGCATCTGGATCATGACCTAACGCCTTTAAAGCTTGCATATTCATGTTTAAATCAGCAGTAAACTTCCTTAAACACACACTCGACTCCTTTTGCATAGGTTCTAATTCATATATATTTCTCGTATAAGATTGTATGAGAATACGCTTATTGTCATATCGTTATACGACAGTGTTCCATGCAATCGAGTAATTGTCACCTGTGGTCGCTAAATTTTGTATCATAACCAATGCGTCCCCACACAAATACATTCTTAAATATACAAATTTTTGTATTCCTGCTATTGTTGGATTTAAATGTACCATGGTCAAAAATAAATCTTTGAATGTGGACCACTCTTCAAATTTTCCCGAAAACGACGGTAATTCTAACGGCTTCATTTTTATCGCCCGGTCACCTCCTTGCGCAAGATTGCCCGGTATACTCAACCTGTTTATGCCAATAACTACATTTGAACCTTGTACCATAGTCTCTGCTTTTGCAACTATATCAAAATATAAATTTACAAACGTATCTCTGTAGTCCAATTGCTCATTACTGGTATCTAATGCCTCGATATTATTCTGAACTACATCAAACTCAGTCCAAAGTTCTTTTATTTTCTCTAGACGTATCTTTATCTGCATGATATTGTTATCCACATCTACATTATTGATATATGTTTGGAATTTTGTCAGCTGCGCCTTTAATTGACTGACTACCCTGCATTATTACGTTTTTGGTTTTTCCCTTAATTTATATTTTCAACCTTATGAAAACTTTATTTGTATATATTATACGTTTTTAATTTTTTTTTATAGAATGTGCCTAAAGGAAAATGAATGGAAACTTGTGCCCTTATTTTCTAATATTTTTAGCTCACTCACCTGGTTGTATGTCGACCGATGAATGTTCAGCCACTGCACACTAGAGCATTGAAAAACAGGACCACTTTGACAATTTTTTCTTCTTTTTTGATTGTTCGATTTGACTATAATAATGCCACTGCACGGTTACTGTGTCCGCGGGGACGTTATATTTATTTATATGTATTCAAAACGAACTAAAGAACAACATACACTTCAAAGTTTGAACTAGACAATATGTCCACTGAACGACAACGAATTCGCGGGACTTATTTACGCAAAATGTATTGCTAGTCAATCCGGCTCGAAGGACCAAAATGTTTGTTTCTAAATAGATTGTTTTTATTGAACAAAACCAAAATAAAAAACTAGAAACTTTTATTATATAATAAGTGGACTGTATATTTCGTTTTGCGTGTGTCGTACCACTTGACTGGTCCGACGGCAACTATATAATACGAGAGAACATATTACGGCACAAGCCCACAATGATAATCTTACAGATAACGATTTCCTATAAACATTACATCGATATTATAATATCGATATTATAAAAGTATATTACGGTGTTCGTACATGGTTTTGGTATCAAAATAATCAAGGAGGAAGTCTAATTTACTGACCCAGATTTTGCTGACCGGAACAAAATTTCCCGACCCGGGCTCCTCGTTCCCCGACCGGGTTGAAATTTGTAAGGTATACATATACTTAAGAACGTAATCAATGATGTGTCCAAAGTTCAGCTGCCTTCCACCATTACCCTCCCTACAGGGTAAAAAATTATTAAAAAAATGTTTTTTTCTCCGACCCGGGCTCCTCGTTCCCCGACCGGGTTTAAATTTGTAAGGCACATACTTAAGAACGTAATCAATGATGTGTCCAAAGTTCAGCTGCCTACCACCATTACCCTCCCTACAGGGTGAAAAAATTATTAAAAAAATGTCGTTTTTTTATAGTTTAGTTTAATATGAATATAATTTATACTTTTAGATTGGTGATGGTGACGTGTTTTCTAGTCAATACTGTCGACTCTGACGAAATAAAAACATCAGAGTACTTTTCATATAAGCCTTATGGAGTTGGCAGGGGAATACAATATGAGCATTTGGGACCAGTTAGATTAGTAGGGGCTCATACAGTCTTGTAACGTTTTTCTCATTAAAAGAATATAACATGAAATATGAATTATTGGGGGAAAAAATAAAAAATATAACAAATATATGTACTGACCAGAAACACCAAGATCTATGTGGGAAATATCAAATAGTAACTACAGATTTATATAATGAAATAACTAAACAGAAAGAACGTATGTATATGTCACTAGGAAGTACTATACAGGAAGATAAACGAAGAAAGAAAAGAGGATAAATAAACATAATTGGTAACTCCATGCATACATTATTTGGCGTATGTGATGATAAATGCACTAAGAAAACACGAGAAGCTATAAAAAACCGAAAAATCAGGAACTAACATATTGCATATAATGGAAACCCAAACGACTGTTGTAAAATCAACAATAAGAAATATTGGTAATACATTAAATCAAACCGAACAACTATACAATAATATTACGGAAAGGGAGCAACAACTATATGAAAAAATACAGAACAAAACAAACGAGATATTAGATTTACTAATGAAAAATAAAATACATAATTTATATACAATAATTACAAATCAATATTCCTACGAAACAGAAACATTATTACAAATAGTAACTACCGCTAGAGAAGAAATGATACATTCAAGTCTTATGACACCGCAAGAACTAGAATCAACATTAAAAACAATAGAACAAACTATAAAGAAAATATACAGTATTCCGATGGGAACAAGGAGATGGGAACTAAATGAATTTCAAAAAATTACAAAAATAAGAATCTACTATTCGGACAACAGATTAGTATTTGATATAGTAATACCATTGATTATTGACACTGAACTTACATAATATAGGTTAACACCAGTACCAATGCGTCGTAACCAAGATAATTCTAGTGGATGGTACCTAAGGTCGGGTTCACATTGGCGAGCGACGGGCGACAGCGATGAGCGATCGGTGATGCGCGATGAGCGATGAGCGATAAAGGTGTTTACATCTATTAGCGATTCGCTATAGCGATGTTAAATATTTTATGAAACACAATAAATTTCTCATTTGCCAATATGTCGCCAACAAGTGCAGTTCAGCTGCACATACTTTTAGAAAACCCTGTGTTAAGACATTATTTTTTGAAAAAAAAGAAAAGGCAAGCTGTTCATAATATGAATAAGTGTCGTTCAAAGTTTGGTGAATTTCACCACGTGTACAAAAACTTACGTGAGCATCCAGACCGTTTTTTTAAATTTTTAAGAATGTCTAACTTTTGATTTTCTGGTGAATAGAATTAAGGGTCGAATTTCAAAAAAAAAGACCAATTTTAAAGAACCAATATCGGCAACAGAACGAACATATGTCACATTAAGGTAAGTGACTAAATTAGTTATTAATGTATAGTGTATACTATAGGTAGGCGTACGCAGAATATTTCAAGGGGGGGGGTCATAATATGCATGAATTGATGACCTTTTTTTTTAGTTATTGTTTCATAATTTAATAAGATACTTTAAAGCTTAAACTTCCTAAGGGAGGTGATATCTCCCAGACACCTACCCTGCGTACGCCACTGGGCTAAAAGTACCTCCATGGCTCCATGATTGCTTTCTAAAGTAGTAAATAGTAAATACTAAACAGATTCGGTTTGAATGTAATATATATGGTGGTAAGGTTTTTTTTAAAAATTTTTTCATATACCTACCCACGTAATTGTTTAGTACCTTCTGTTAAGTTGTTTACACTTTTCATATTAACTGTACACAATGATTCTGTAATAATTTTTGTACTTAACTTTTTACTAATACATATACATTGTATTTAAACATGAACGAAATAAAAATAAAAAGTATGTACTTACTCTTTTATTTATATTGAACATTTGATTTTAAAAAAAATGTTTTTTATTGCAGGCTTTCATTTTTAAGTTTGATGAATATTTATTTATGTTTTAAATATTCAAAGATACACTATATTTATATATTTAATTTTTATTTATTTACATTTCAACAGATCTTATGATCCAATTACAATAGTTAATAGTTTTTAGTTCAACATTAACATACAAATAAATCAATCAGCATATGCTCAACCAAGATTAACCACCCACCACTAATATATTGGTGGTGCAGTGCACCAAAAATAGTTTACTCAAACCGGCTCTGAAAGTAAATAATAAACACTATATTTTATATTAATTAACCTTTTAATTAAAAAACAAACTCCATTTATCATTTTAGAATAGGTAAAATTATGTATACATAATACCTGTAAATAAAACTGAACATCATAAAATGTTTTAAATAAACTAAATAAAAACTAAACCAGAACTTATGGTCAGGAAATACTTAAAAATAATAATAAACTAATTATAATAATATAAAATAAGTCTTTGGTTCAAAATTAGTAGCGTTGAATATGATTGGAAGTCAGTTGGAAGTCTTGATTTTCACGTTGCATGTCTTGTGAGCTTGATAATGTAGAAGTTTGAATATTATAACTTTTGCATTGATTTCCTTGTGTTATCAAAGGCATAGGAATATGGTAGTCATTACTCATATGATGTGATCTTTCTTGAGAAGTCAATGTCATAGGTGGAAGATAATTTTGACTTTCAACTGGTATATTATTTGTAAAAATGGTACTTGGAACTGAATTAGAAGACATAAGTTTTCGCCGATGTGCGTCAATTACTACGCTTTGAATATTATTCCTTACTTCTAATTTTTCTAGAGCATTCAAATCCTTAAAATATGGAAGTAAACTTATCAAAAAATGGTAGTCTGGATCATTGTTAAATTGATTTTCATTTTTTTGTGCATTTTCCAAAATTTTAATTTTTTTTTGTTCCAAAGCCAAAAACGAGTCTATATTTGATTCGTCGATTTTACGAGATTTTTTCATTTTCTTTTTCAAAATATTATTAGCTAAATGTTCATTGTCCAAGGTAGTTGGTGATCTTTCAGAGTATACAGCGTGTTCCGAGTTCACATCAACTTCAACATCAGTATCGTCGGCCCAACTTGTACAACTTGTATTTTGTTGTGTGTCATTTTCTAAATCATTATCTAGATCTGGTAGATTTCCCGATGTAGGACTTGGTAACAAAACATCTCTGCAGAATAACATCATTTTGAAAAAAGGCCACTTCGATTTCCATTCGAAGTTTTCATCACCTTTGGCCCCGGAACGATTTATCGGTTCTTTCTGTAATTCTCTTCTAAAAGTGTCTTTACTATTCTTCCATTTAGATTTAGCCATTTCACCTATTATTATAAAAAAAAAAAAAATAGGTGACAATTTTTTAAGTAGTAAAAATATTATAATAAAAAAATATTTAAATTTCTTTATAGAAATAGATCCGGGCTTTTGATATTTAATTAAATATAATTTATTAGTATCACTTTTATAATATAGGTAGGTACATTATTATATAATTTATAAGTATTGGCCTCGGAACTTAATGCACTTAATAGGTACTAAATATGCGTATATAATAGAAAAATCTTATTTTTTTCTTACAATTTTAGATTCTGAGCGGATTAATGAATGTATTGATTTTACAATTATGTGTGTGTATCATTTTCTATACACCATAACATTTTAAACATATTTTGACTTATTTTGAGCTGTTTACAAACATTTTTAGTTTCCAATTAGGTATTTTAGTTTTTTTTTTTCT